TAAGCATTCTTGGAATGATTAACAACGCGGCCGAGCGCCGGAGCCGGCAATGCGCTAACCGTCAGTTTACCGTTCAGTTTAATTTTAACTGATTGCAACAGCCAACAGTAACAGACCCAATCGTATACCTAAAGATACCTATAGATGGGAAATAGAAACTGTTATAAAATGTTATTATTCAGGGTAAGATTCTAGGGAAAAGAAGTCCAGGAAGGAGATGAACATCGTGGCTTAATCTTTGCCAATGGTACAATAAAAGTACATGTGCTATATTTAGAGCTGCTGTGTACAAACTTCAAGTTGCTGTATTGACTCAACCTTCGTTAGGAGACGGCACCAAAAGAAGATAAAATGTTTTTTATATCAAAATCTTAGCGGAGTCTAAAATTTTAAATAATCAACGTACATGTTAATAAAAAAACAAGACGAATATGTTACAATACTGTTAGAATTGCATACATAGTATTAAGTAGAAAAAACCCATCCGATGAGTTTTAAAGGTTTCGTAAATTCTTTGAAACCTTTTTGTCAACGGATAATAAAAACAGACCTTTGCCTGGCAATCTTTTTTTTTCTTAGAGAGAGTTTCCTTGACTAAAGATGTCAATGTTAATTAATCATTTAAGATGAATTCGCTTACTGTTCTTTTATATATTTTTTTATCATGTATTTGGCAATAATAAAGGGTGGCAAAGTGATATATCAATACGGAAGCATGATTGCAATGGTTGACTGTTGTTCAATAATACCGTAAATGCATTACTAAATCCAAAATACAAATATAGATTCTACTTAAAATGACTATTAAGGTAATTAAGCTAAGAACGCATTCATCTAATGGAAAAAAGTCAGAAATTAATGAAAAGCACTCGAATTTATAAAATGATTAATTAAAAAAGTGTAACTCGCACTAGTTTTTGTACACAAAAATAAGCAATGCCGGATTGGTTTCACTTTTAACTCACGAGTCTTTATAATTAGGCGTATCTTCATTATTTTGATCGCACATTTATTTGTATTTTCTATTTCGGATGATGCACGTGAAAGCAGTAGCCACAAGCCGCATTGAGTGAGGCCCGCAATAAAAGCTTTCGGTGCTGCTATTCAATGTTGCCATGGCAACGGTATTCCAACAAAGGGATACCCTACACCCGCATTCAACGGGAACTAACATCACGTAGTCTGGAACACGTGTATTGTACTATTTTTAAAGCTACTATGTTCTTAACATAACCTATTTTGAAATGGAACAATACGCAACATTATTATCGATAAATCTGGTCAATATGATGCAGTAATTTTAGATATTTATAGTGCCTACTTATGTCATACTATTTGCAGCTGTTTAAATGAGAATAATAGGAAACCGTTAGATTCTCGGTTCAGGCTGATTCAATGTCAAATGAATAAATTGAATACATAAAATTGTTATTGAAATAAAATTAAACGAGGGTAGTAAAATAATTTGCATAAGACTTCAAAGTGACTATCATGATAGTTACGCATAATAAACCATTGTTGAATAATTATTTACATTCTATTATTAATACAACATTCTATTATCCACATTAGAAACAATGAACAGATTTGTTTTACAGTAAACAGACAGAGAATTGAGCTCATTACTTTGAGACTTGCCATAAAATTAGTACCTTCATTAGATTACCTCCAAAAGATTCAAGAAAATAACCAAGTAATCTAAATTCTAATCTTCTAATTTTACGAATTATATGAGAAACAGTACGCAGCGAAAACTTGGCCGTTGGTCACAGATGTATCACTTACCAACAGCTGCGATTAAATTTTTTATAAAAAAAAATTTACGAGCATCATAAAAATATAAACGCAAGATATGTATTTAATATCATTGTGCAGATTTTAGCTCCAACATTATCTAACTTCGCCCACACAGACACGCACAGTACCGGCTATAATTATTGATCGCGTCAAAGATAACAGAGGATGTTGTTTAGATATGTTATCGCACTATTGTTTGAAGCGCACAAACACATTCACTATGAAACAAACACATCCGAACCGGTGCAGCGACGAAATTTATCGTAAGCATCCTAATGAGCTTTACTGTAAACCCCTACGCAGATTTATGCCTCACGTAATTGACTTAACATCTTCTAGGACGTAAGAGTTATTCTTAACGCAGATTAGGTCCCAAGCTAACTAAATCTTTATAATTATTTCGGACGCGTCCAATGACCTTTTGATGATCGATGTATCGTTGATTTAAATTCGATCGTATCGAGTCGAGGGTGCACGTGTTATGTGTAGATTTGTACTACGTACGAACGCGCGCGCGTCTTGTGGCAGACTAGCGCGAGCGCGAGGCACGCGGGCGCAGCGCACGCCGCGAGCTCGAGATGAACAGCCCCGTGCCCTACCAGCTGCCGCACAAACGCTTTATCTGATTACCTCATGGAGCAAGGACCTTTCGACACAAAGCTCACCGTAAAATCCACCTTGAAAATCGCCGCGTAGAGCGCGAAATTCATCTTACGAAACGCCTTTCGAAAACTTATCCGATCGTGTCAGCTAATCGCGTAATTTTTAACAATCTTTGTAACATTTAGGTAACATTGGCAAGGAAGTCGACAAGCATAAGCTAACTCGTTTTGTATACAACATAAATGTGAATTGTTTAATTGAATCGACTCGCATGAGCAAGGCTAGCGAATGATATTAAGATGGGAGGGAATAACTCCCATTGTTAAAATCTATTGTGCTAGTATGTCATGACGTATGGAGGTCAAACGAACAAACAAGAAATTAATTTGCCAATTGAAGCCAAAGTGAGTCTTTGAACATGTGTTTTATGTACATTTTTACACCTTGTTCACTTCTAATTCAGTGTTATAGTGATAACGACATTAGTATTTAATTTTTGAAGATAATTTGTTGAAATAATTTATTGAACTACAATCGAAAAAGCAAACTAATTTCTTTACACAAGGGAAAAAGTAATACATGAATTATCAATATAATGTTATATATTACCACATTAATTCTTAAACTTCGACATAAAAAATTCGTTTATTAGAATTCTGTTGCACAACGTATTGTAATATATACTTTATAATATAAATGTACACGTTTATTCGTAAAAATGTAATCGTGTACCGTAGAAACCCTTTCTGAATGGAAGCCATATTGGTTGACGTTAGGCTCGTATTTCCCCTAACTATTAATGCACCAATGACACTAAAAAGACTATCAGAGATCTAAGATGTTTAAAAGAATATCTTAAAAGAAGAAAAACTTGAACTACAAGAATAAGAAATTCTTAAAGACGAAAGTTTATGGAAGAGAAATTTACTGGGCGTCTATTATAAGATGAACTGCATTCAATTCAAGATGTACCAACTGTTCTGGAGTTACAGAGCGCATATAATTGATTCTCAGATCGTCAACCGCGACGCAGACTGTTAAATTGACCGAGCCAGACTAATCATTATGAGAATTACATTCACGAATTACTAAAAAGAGAATGCTCTTAACATAATTTAGAATACAGTCATACAATTTACATTAATTAGACTTTAATATCTTCTACCACGATATCATAGCTTGGCATAAACATAAATTAGTATTCTAAATACAAGCTTTGATTGTTTCCTGTTATAATTGAACGATATAATAAAACGCTTCTTGTAAATAATGTGTTTATTTTGCTTTTTCTGATCGTCCAATTGTCCCTGCTTCTTTGTGAAGTGAATCGTAAATTTGTTGTACAAGTAATTGTAGATTACATAATTATTAGTGAGTATTTGAGATGCTGTAAACGTCTAATGAGATTTGTGTCAGTCATTGGAAAGAGAAAGTATACTTCTAGTTACGGATTTTTAGATAAAGAAATTTTTCAACGTATGGATGTCTCATTTAACTTTCCACTATTGATGGTTCGTTTGCTTCGTTAATAACTGACAATATTTTCGTGTGGCATAATCGTGTAGTTGAAGGCAGGTTAGAATGTAATCAGTACGTCCCATCTAGTAATGTTTTCTAATAGTTCAATGCATTATAGCGATTATTGACTGAATTTCTAATTGTGAAATATGAACTCTAATGTCAAATGTTTTGTCTATCTATCGAGTTTAAATAAGTATAGTTTTAAAACTTGTAGCGAATGAGTTTTAATTAGAGAAAATAATAAAAAAGGCTCTAAAGTAAAATTTGCATTGTTAGCCTAAGCAGGAATTTAATTTGTTTTATATTAGGTACTTGTTTTTAGAAAAATATTATTTTATAACTAAATTTATCACAAGAATAATATTTCCTACATTTTAAGTAAATGCTTATCTTTTGTTTTCAATTAGACAAAAGTTAAACGACCGAAACGCAATTAACTGATACGAGTATCGTACGCGTTTTACTTTCCACGAAACGTTGCTATCGAATGTCACTCAGCAGACATTATCTTGCACTCCGATACTGTATTTGGTAAACACACTCGTACTCGTACGACTTCGATTAAGTGCAACATGAAATACTTATACCTCGTTTTACAAAACTTTGTCCTATTTGATTAAATCATAACATTGTATCCGATAGTATTTGCTAATCGCGTTTTTTTTGCCACATTCGCCTTTTTAGTTTATTTTTAGATTGTGTCTATTTTTCACCCTTTTAGATTACATATAGTAGTTGCAGGAAACTCGATGTCAATGTTTTAGTGATGTGCAAAAATTGGCTAACAATTTAAATAAAGTGTATTATGCTCGTTTGTAACCCAATGTTTTGGTTGACACTAATTTATAACACTCGGTAGCTAGAAATGACAAGCATGACTCTTGAAGTAGACTCACGGCATATGCCATCGAATTCTTAAATCCCACTTGAACGGTTCGACTCTTCAATTAAAACTATTATTTAGAACTGAGCATTTGTATCGGGCTTTAAATTTTGTAAGCTATAAAATTGAAATACTTCGATCCGTATTAGTTCTTCCGCTCGTTTGCCACCTAGAAGTATAAAGAAATAGTACTCACCCCGCGCTGGTGAGGCTGTTATTGCTGGCCGTGAGGGAGTCGGCAGTGCCCTGCGCCATGGCGGCCAACTGCCGGTCCAGTATGGTGTTCTTCTCCAGCAGCTGGCTCCACTGGCGCACCATCGCCTTCGACGACGACAGCTCCTGGCGCAGCTGCACCTCGTCCAGAGAGTTCAGCCCGCTGCGCAGAGAACTGTCCAACCTGAACAAATATGAAAATGGGTACTAATGCTGTGCTGTGCTCTGTTATCATGAATTCAGATAGATTATGATTCAGATTATTGAGTTTTATTGAAAAAAAATATAGATAAAATAATATTGATAAAACATATTCTGTCTAATGTTGTTACTGTTGTTGTTACTATTCTATGTATATGTCGTGTAAAGCTATAATTAGGACAAATTAACTGCATGTTACTTATTGTATTGGGTAAAAATGTTTATTTGTCGTAATTTTGGCCTGTTGGTTTATCTCAATAAATAACTTCTTTATGATGAGGGAGATTGTTAGCCCTTTAGATATCAACATTTTAAATAAAGAAAGACACCACATAGAAGACAGGCGTGAAGTGGAAGCAATCCCACGTTTCGTCTGATGAGTGTGTAGGAGGCCCAATTTTAGTTCCTTTCCTGCTCCACTGTTTTATTATAAGGAAAGGATTCCTTAGGAAAATGGATATGACGGTGGAGGAGACGCACAGGAAGGGGAAATATCCTTTTCGTGTACGTCTCCCCTCCATCGATAGAGTAGACAACGCATCTGCAATTACGAATGTCTGTGGACAGCGGTCGCTTCGCCATTTTGGCGGATTTAGGTGGTCGCTTGTTCTCGTATACCATGGTGGCGTTGTAATCTAAAAACTTAGGACTACCACCGCTTATTACAATGTATGTGACGTGATTTGAGTTTAGATTAAATAACGAAATCAAACAGAGAAAAGAATATCAAATACCTATGACTCCTTAGATTATCAACAAAACCACTTTCTTCTTACGACTTCAGTTATATAACCTTAAAATGACTAAGTTACCTTTCAATGTAATCGTCGACGCTCTGCAGACTGGTGATGGAGTTAGCGAGGTCGTTCTCCATCATGAGGTCGTCGGAGGCGAGGCTGGACAGCGTGTCCAGGGACGGCGTGCGCTCGCCGCCATTGCGGCTGCCGCCCACTGCAACGTAATCGCATTTACTCCCTCACGTTTGTACACCTATAAACTAGTTATTAGTAAAAAAATATTAATAACTATAATCTATTGAGTACAAAATTGGTAAATAAGACCAATACGTAGAAATCAAATGAAATAAATGAAACTTTTTAGGTTATATCAGATTAAAAATGAGATTACTTACGTTTCCTACTTCTTTGTGCTAGAGGACTTGAAGTGATGCGTTCTTTTGACCTTCGCAGTTTACTGGCTTCAGAATCCGCCCGCTTCAGTGAAGGACTCCCATCCGTATTTTCTTAAAACAGACATACAATTTAGAAAGAAAATTCAATTAAACATTAGTTTCCAAGCAATGAACATTATTACTAAAGTGTAGATTTGG